ATTAAAGATGAGGATGGAGACGTATTAATGAATTTGGTCGATCAACAAATAAATGATGACTTGAAAACTGTAATAATTGAGTTTTTCTGGGAAGAATTAGTTTCAAAAGCGAAAATAGATCGTTCCATTCTGGCTTACATGATTAAAGACATTAGGGAAGATGTTATTATTGAGGTATAATTCTATTGGTAAATCAATTTATTCTGGTTATAATACCCAGGAATTTAACTTTTGTCTTATCGGTTGTTAGCTTTTAGCGTATGGGTTCGTTGTATTAAAACGGTGTACAGAATTAGTTTCTGACATAGAAGAAGTCTTCAGGGCGTTATTGATTCCTCTTAGTGACGACAAGAAGCTAGAATTCTGTGTAGAGCTTCTAGAACAGGTTGAAAAAATTCAAGATGAATTTAAAGGTGATTCAAATCCCAATTATTCTGACCTGGATACGGATAGGGTGGATGTATATGTATCTAGGTAACTAGATGCTACTTTCTTTAAGTGCATTTGATCTTGATACTTATTAACATTATCCTTAACATCAGTATAATGTCACGTGTCAAGTTGTTGGTACTTGGGACTCACGTATTAACGGGTCGCGTAAATGCGGTTGTCACGTCAAATAATCTAGAAATAGCGCACAAGAATAAAGAGTACATGTTGATATTTAAATGGGTTATAATATTAGTTAGCCTACTTTGTGAACAACGTATTCATCGTGATGGTGGTGGGGTTGCACATTTTGAATTGTTATTGGACTTGGTCTCCTTCTTGTTGGACGGTAGCTATTATTATTTTCCTGTTACGCAATAATATTCTTATGTTACATGGTGATGTTTACATTTATATTAATTCTCAGAGATGGGAAAGAATGCCCGCGCCATTTTCGTCGCAGAATTAAAGGTAAAATTTACTATTTGATAAGACGCTGAATTTTTAACAGCACGAAATTTCATTAATCTTTTTTTTCATCCAAATTTATAATTCAATAGCAAGTAAGTTAACTATCAATACATTAAATTTAATTTAACTGAATTATGTCTCTAATGGTTATATGATGTTTTTAGAATTATAAATTTGAAATACCTTCAATCTGGAGCAATCGAATAAAACGAGTTCTTCCTTTTACTTTCAACCCCGAAACTGTTGGTGAAGGGAAGAAGCATGTTATTGATCCTTGGCTGAAGATAGAATGTTTGGGCGAAAGTGACGATTTAAATAATTC